GTCAACCGTCAGGAAGGAGGTGGCTGTTGAGCTGTTCATCGCGCCCTACGCGGTATTGTGCCGGGTAGCGGCTGCCCTCTCATTTAATCATTGACCACCACCAAAAGCTTGACCCTCATCACGTTGACGTTCCTGAAGCAATTCGAGGTCCCGTGCCGTCCGACCAGGACCTGCCCGCACCATCTCTTGGCTCATTTGGCTCCCATCTCGAACCTCAGGGAAGGCTCGTCTTGGGAAACCTTGCCCCCTTCACGACACCCAAACGTCGTCCTCCTCTCGTCGTATCGCTGCGGCAAGGTTCGAATACGGCACACTTTGCCAAGCCCGGACATGCAACGCAACACCTGCTCCAAGAAAACTAATGGCGGATTCAGAGACGTGAGTTTTGCGTTTGCATTTATGGCAAACATCATGAGCAGTACTGTGTATGTTGATACGGTTGGTTGTGCGGTTGCCAACCCTTGGGGAAAAAAATTGGTTGAGTCCATCGAGGATCCATCCGCGCGTGTAAGATAGGGGGGCAGCGGTACTCAAATGCATCGTGATGCAAGATGCAATTGTCCGCCGTTTGACCTATCTGCCCAGATCCACCGTTCAAGGCTGCCGCATTGCGATGGTCGCAGATGAACCCAACTAGTGATGCAATGTTAAGTTTCCATCAGCACCAATCTCCCTTACTCCGATTCGAACTTACACCACAGGCATTTCCTTGCGTAGCCAAAATCACCAAACACCACGGCGTCACCTCGCAATGACACAGACTAGTTTTGTCGTCGAGCCACGATGGAGGCATCACCACGACCATCCTTGGCGCAATGAAGTGGTCATTTCACCAACCCTTTCAGACGTACAACGTCCCAGGCGTCTTCGCGGCAGGCCGACGTTGCTGGTGACTGGTCGCTTGCTGGGCTGGGTCATCAGACGAAGCTGGGGCCGGGCTTTGAAAAGGAGCGGAGCCACGTTCGCAATCGATCAAATTTTCAGATCACCTGAGCCCCAGCCAGCATCCGGGCGGCGGAGAGCTCCAACATGTTGTTGTCCAGTTGCGCGGCGCGCACACACACACACACACACACACATACATACCAAGCCAACGCCCCTCCACCAGTGTGGTATTTGGGGGTACCTGCGCCAGATGTAACTCTTGCTGGCGAAACGTTAGAAACGTTTCGATGGCCGTCAAGAAACAAAGGATGCCTATTGGTCTTTACCCAAAAAAAAAAAAAAAGGCTGCGTAAATATTTCCGAGCTTGTCGCCCAGTCGGAGTGAATCTGAGATGCGTGAATTGTGAACCCCCATGGACTCGAAGATAAGGAGCATCAAAACACTATCCGTACCCCAGGCGGATGATCGCCAGTTGGGGGCTTCGACATAGCAGAAAGAACATCATTCTCCCCCACGGGCTGAAGGTTGAAGTCGTTGGCGGACAATCTAAGCGTTGGCATCACGGCGGTGCCGATGCGATGATCAGCAACGGATGCACTAGGAAGTGCCGTAACAACGGCAGGCCTGCCGTTGTTGTCGTTTTGGCAGAGCAGATTGGCAGGAAAAGAAGCCCCCGAGGGGCCTAGCGACATTTGGACGGTATCCCTGCGAGCCTGCGCGGTAAGGCAACGTTAGCGACCACACTAATGAATGCCTGCCTCAGATCCTTGAGAATGCAGAATTTGCGTCTCCGCGGGGCGCCCTCTCCAGTCGTGATGCAGGCAGGCTACAGGGCGCAGGTCGAACGCGGTTGAAGTTGGTGTGGTCGTCTCTCCTGTTGTAGGAAAGGTTTGGCAAGAAAAAATTGGCGTCCAATAATTGTGCGGTTTGTAACCTGTTACAATCCAAGACATAACGCACGCCTCTGGTTGTTACGGCAGGACCCGAGCAGTCGGGAGAGGGAATGGCGGCAGCGTTTCGTCACACGTTGGTTCATGCCGTCAGGTTGAAATAATTTTCACCCTCCGTCATGCTTGGAGATGTTCTCCAAGCCTCCAACTCTTGACGCACTCCACCTTTTTGGGTAAGCGGCTGGCCCGACCTCGTCTGACTTTTTCCCATAGCCGCCAAAGTTCGTCTTTTCGCGTCTCATTCGCAAGAGGTAAGGACACCAGGAAGGAAACCAAGACTTGGTTCGCAAACGCCTTGTTGAGTTGGCAGTCGATCAGACCGTGCAAGTGCAGTCTCTGCGCCTTCCGTCGTTCGTCGTCCGTCATCCGTAAACATACCTAGTCGTCAGCCGAGGAAAGTTACTCATTTGGTGGCTCCGTTCAGGTGACCCGTTGTCGTACCGTCTGGACGAATTGGTCCTGGCGTCGGATCGGGGGTCCAGGTGGTTCGAGCCTGGTGCGGTTGCAGGCTGCAGCTGGGTCCGGATACGTACCTGAGAAAATAAAATTTGGGTAGCTGCTTCTAGAAATCTTCTAGTCTCCAAGCTAGCCTCTGAGCTAGCCTCCGACCTCCGGACCAGTTCCGCGCTGCGCGGTCCTGGCTTCCTTCGCCGCGGCATCCGAACATCGGAAAGCCCATGGTCTGACACAAAAGCCAAAAGGGCCTTTCGCCGCGTCGCATTCAGTCACACACTTCCCTCTTCCTTTCTTCCTGCAACGTAACTCATCACATCGCGTACTTCGTACGCGAGCCCTAGGGCGGGGAGGGCGCTCTTTCCCTGGTGCAGTGGTGGACCGCGGTGGTGCATATGGGGGGGTTTCCTCAGATGCAAGTCTCGTCGTTTCATTGCCCCTTTGGGTCAAGTTCGTCGAGGCGTGTGGGAGGGGGTAGCTGGCCGCCGGCCGCTGCTCATGTTAGCACCTGGCACGTCGGTAGTACGGATACTTCCAATGGTACGGACTAATCGCACATACGATGATGTGCAGCAATTAGTTTGGCCTCTGCCCAGTGCGGTTACGTAGTCAGTCAGGTGACCATGTAACGAAAATCGAAACCCGTGTTCCCGAGATCGTGATCTTCGGGCGCTGCGGAGGGATTTCTGGGCTTGAATGGTTGCAGAAATTAGACATTTGGCATTCCATGGGAACCTTTGTCACGTCGCGATGCTTGGCTCGATGCCTCACAAAATGGGTTCGGACTACATCCGGCCTTTTGCCAAGACGTCCTTGCCGCCGCGTCCGATGTCTTCGGGCAATGCGCCCATGTGAAACTTGGTTCGTACCGCGGGATGAAGGAACATGGTTCTGAAAATCTGCTCAATCCCTTCGCTCTTGGACGGCATTGTCTGGTTCTGTCGTGATGGGTTTGACGTTGAGCAAGAAAAGTTTAACGGTTGCTTCGAGGAAGAGCGAGCTAGTAAGTCGGTGACATATCGGGCAATCTTCAGCGTCTTTGAGTTTTCCATTGACCAAGTTGGTCTCTCAAATCTCAATGCTTTACAGAGACTGCAGGCTGCAGTTGCCAGCAATATTCCGTATCCCTGTCACCCGACAGAAACGCAGGTGTGGAACTCTTGTACCAGAACCTCGCAGGCAAGAAGGAGCAACTTTCAACTTGCTTGCAACAGATTCAGCTTTACGCTCGAGTCACCACGAATTTGGCCGCCGTCAAACAGTTGGTCCAGCAAATAGACAAGCAGTCCAAACCGTCTGAAGAACATGCAAAGAACCGCCGTGTCAATGCACATCCAACACTCCACGTTCCGATCTGACCCCGACATGCCGCTAGTAGCCACTCCATCCCAGTATCGAAACAGCCAATCACGGACAAGGTCTGACATTTATAAACTGATTGTTGTTTAACCTCGATCAATCCGGCATGGTGTAGCGGTTAGCATACTCCGCTTTCAATCAAACGATTCAAAGTCCCGGAGAGATCCGAGTTCGACTCTCGGTGTCGGAACACCTACCTTTTGACCTCTCACGAAGGTCGCGGAAAACACTTTTTGGCAATTGTTTAATACGCGATGGATAGATAGATACATTGGAGGATTACTCAGGTAGCCACGGCTGGCTAGAATCGGCTGAACTGGCTTAGGCTTGATTCATGTATCTATTTTGTTGTAGGACCTTGATCTTGCTATCTGGTGAAGGCGGAACTCTTCGTCGCCTCAGTTGTTAGTGAGCATGCATGCAGTTAAATGTAAACAAGATGAGTCTGTGAAGGGATATTTGGGAAACACCACTATATATGGGGGCAGTCGTCTTTGAATGAGTTCCAAGACAATTCTGACCAGGGAGAACAAGCGTCAACATCAAAGTTGCCTCTATTTAGTCATATTTTGACTTGTTGAGAGATGGCACATGAGTTGCACCAAAGTTTGAGATGGTCTCTCCACGTTCCATAAACAATCAATCTGCTTCGTTTGCGATGATCTACAGACTCACCTCCTAAAGTCCCAATACAGTCCAGCATACATCCAGCCATTCATCTTTGGCCAACTGCTGCTTTCCACCCAACGCGCTCAGCCTGGGTCGATACGCTCTTCCTGGCCCAGCATGCTAAACTTGGGCACTAAGGTACGTAGAGTTGACAACAACATACAAATAAGTAAGTAGTGATCAAAACTACAGTCAGACAAACCGGAAAGCCTAAGTGACTGGTGTCTCTATGAAGATCAACAGCTGACCAACTGCCGACTCGCCCAGGTCCCTCTTTGCAGTGTCAACAGGTTATTAGCCAGATGCAAGATCGCCAGTGAAAATAGGACAATAAGCCATAACATTGAATAGGAATATACACTCGCAGAGAATATTCACAGGAGAGAAAGAAAGGAGCGAAGCCTGTGGTGCATCTCACGGTCGGTCCTTCCTCCAAGACCGTGAGTCCTTGAACACTCCTTCCTCCCCGAAATCCACAACACAAAACCGCATATTAGCTACTGCCTTGCTGAGGAGAAATCGTCCCCCCCAAATAAACAACGATCTCCAAACTCGTACGGTACCTCCTTATCCCCCCCAGCCGACAACTTACCATTCACATCATTCTCACCAGCATCGTCACCCGTCATTGAAAAAAGCAATCTCGCCTCCCATCCAACACGGTCAAACATACCTATCCCACAATGAAGACCAAGACCAAGACCGCAGGCCCCTCTGAGATCAAGACCGACGCACCGAAACTGAACCGCCAAGAACGCGCCGTCATCATGAAACTCCTCGGGGGCGTGAGGTCCTTCACCTTCAACCCCCTCACCAGCGAGGAGTCGGCCCTCGTCAAGGCCACGATCCCGCGCCTCATCAAGGCCTCCAAGGACCCGCTCATGCCGGATGCCGATCGCTTCTTCAACGACGATTCGGATAACCCAACCTTGTTTGGCGACGCTCTTCGAGTGATTATGCAGCTGAAGGCGTGGTATGGGCCTACGGCGTCTCACTGACGTAGCTGCTCTATGGCTAGTTTTTGCTTTGCGCGCATTTGGGGATCTCTTTCTTGACGACCCTGGTGAGTACATTCCAAAAACTCTTTTTTTCACTATAAAATAATTGTATTGATAAATTCAAAGATCTCTTCGTAATGAAGCTGGGGCGGAGATACCAAGGAAATTATTTATCACGAGTATCACATAGGGGCACACGAAAGGCATGGATGGGGCAATAAAAACAACATTGCGAAGCCACGACTGTGGGGGGATTACGGGCACAAAACTTGGTGGTGCATGGCAATACACGATCATTTAGATATGAAGTAAAGAAAATCAGCTGCTGAACATGTGGTGGTGGTGCATGCACTTTGCCAGTGAGTGATGTGTTGCCATCTCCTAGGCTTCAGTCTGGCAGAAGAGGAGGACCGAAATCCAGTCCTCATCCTCCATCCAATTCACTAAATTTCTAGACGTCAAGTATGGAAGAAGTATGGTGAGGGTAGAATAAGTAATAGAAGATATGGTGGTGCCTGCAAGTTTGCAAGTGAAGTGTCGCGTCTCATAAACTTAGTTGGGGGCGGAAAGGGGGGTTGTCACAATCCATCGCGAACCTCCTCCTTTCCAGTCAGGACCTTTCTAGACGTAGGGGAGGGAGATTTGGTTGAAGGGCTTAGGTACTTAGTGAACAAAAACGCTGCAAAATATCGCCTCAGTTTTCGACGGGATGTTCTGAGGCAACGGGAGCAGATCCAGCGCTGAGTGCCGGCGGGAGTGAGTTCGTTCACGTTCCAGTTCCGCCTTGACTTTTTTTTCTGTTTTTTTCACTCTATCCTATCTAAAGGATGGGAGATTACAAAATAATACATGGGATTTGCCTACTGCCTACGCGTGAAAATGAGTACCTCCTAGCAATATGCCGTCCAGGAGCGGGACTGGTGGTGAAGGTGAACTGTGGGTCCCACCTTCCGTCCCGTGTCCGGAGCGAGCGCTCCCCGCCGCGCGATCGGGACCGCGTGCGCGTGTACATTATCCTCCCAGGCATGGAAGGAGCATTTGGTCGAGGGGTCACGGGTGTTGTAATTCTCATCAAAGCCCTGATTTTAAAGACTCGGGGTTCGAGTCCCGCCGCTTGCATTCTTTTCATTGTATATGACATATTATCTCATTGCCGCTCAAATATGCAAATTAAACCACACGCTTCTCTATGAACCCACCACAACACATCTTACAGCCTACTCGACTTGCTCTCATCCATGATAGCACCACTCATCACAGGCATCTTCTGCTGCGGCTGCTGTCGTAGCAACGCATCTCTCCCCACGACAAGCTCCCGCCCGCCCTTGGTAGTCCACCACGCGACGCCAATCGTAGCCCTCTCGACGTCCATCTCGCCGCTGACCAACACCTCCCAAAAACGGTCCCTGACAGGCTGCCGAACGGCGGGTTCGACAATCTCGTTCATCGCCTGCGCCGTCAGCGTCAACCAGTCCTCGACGAGCGGCAGCGGCAAAAACGGCAGCGAGTCGACCAGCGTTAGGACGAGCGAGCTTTGCTCTGATACCAACTCCTGCTCCGGCGCCAGACCCTTTTCGGCCTGCGCGATCGCGTCGTGCGTTGCGGGTAGTCGTTCTGTGCCCGCGCTCAGTGTCTTGAAGCGCACCATTTCGAGAAGCGTCTCGGATAGTTGTGGCTCCGTGAGGGAGATTGGAAAGGGCGGCGAGACGACTTGCATAATGGTCTTGAAGGCCAAGCGGAACTGCCGGGTGGAGATCTGGGCTGGGAACGAGGCGAAGAGGGCATCAATGTAGAAGGGTACGAGGTTGATGGTCAGGGAGCTGTTGTGTGGGCATGATAGCACGGAGAGGACGGCACTGTGGGCTGCTTCGAAGAGTTCGACCATGGTCGCTGTTAGGGCGCCGGTGTAGGTGAGATATGCGGTCGCCGGCCCTACGATCAGTGCGTCGCAGGCTTCCGTGGGTATGTTGAGGGGCAGGTGCTCGGCGACATTGAGGTAGAAGAGATCTAGTGTCCGGTCAAGGGGGTTGGGAGGCACCGCCCCAGCGTGAGGGGGCTTCGTCTCCGCGAGAAAAGACACCGAGGCATCCCCGAACCGTGCCAGGATATCGAGAGAGGTGAGATAGGTAAACGTGTACGCCTGGAACGCGCTGGCTCCGTGTCTCGATGAGATGAAGAACAAGAACCGTAGGGTGTGTAGTGATTTCGTGGCGACCTGGGGAGCCATGACGTCGTTCCTCATGCGCGGATCAAGAAGACTGCGTCCGACGATGGACTGGAGAACAGCGACTGTGGCGTACATTGTCTTCTTCAGCGTCCCCCAAAGAACCGGCCAAGTCCCGTCGAGCGTATTGTGCTCCAGCCTCGCCGTCTCGTCAGCGGCGTCGACCGTCGATAGCGGGTTCCGCTGCCACTGCTGGAACAACTTTTGCGCGAACTCGAGTAGCGAGTCCTGCGCCTCGAGCACGACCGACGAGTCCGTCGCGTTCGTGACGGCAAAGGCCGCCAACCGGGACAACGGCCCCATGCCGCCCATCAGTGGCTTGCTCTCCATCGCCTGCTGCAGCCTGAACGACGGCGAGGCGGGAGACCACTCCACGAATGGACCGTTCTGCCTGACGTCTTGCCGGACGTCCTCCAGGAACCCGCCGTCCTGGAACCCGTCTTCTCCGGTGATGGCCAGCACGGTGATGGGCAGAAGCGCGTTGTAGTTGATCGCGGCCTGGTGGAACTCGGAGAGGAACGGAAAGACGTAGTTGAGCGCGAGCACGATCGACGCCGAGGCGAACGAGCCGTCCTGGCGCTCCAGCGCGAGGTTCGCGGCCGTGACGACGGCCTCCTCCAAGGTATTCCGCAGGCCCCGCGACAGCGAGCCCTTATCGTTGGCCTCCATGCCCATCAGGATACCCGTCAGGACCAGGAGGTGCTGCCACCTGTTGGAGCGGTCGTCGGCGCCCTTGACCACGGCCCGGACCCACGTATCGCTACCGAGCCCGCCGCCCTGCTGCGTCGGTGTTTGGATGTTGTGGGAATCATTGCTGTCGGACCTGGCTTTATCGAGCTCGTTCTGCCGCACCCGTATCGCGGCGCTGTTGTAGACGGAGATGATGCGCAGGCTTGTGCGCAGGCCGTCGCGGCGGTGCCAGATGGCGGGCGCAATGAGGAGCTGGGAGGTGAGGACGCCGAGGTTCAGCGGGTTCGAGAGGGACGCCAGGAGGTTCACCGTCGAGCCGACGATCTGGTCCGTCTTGCGGTCGTCATGGACGTTTTGGTACAGCTGCAGGACTGTGTTGAGGAGTCTGTCTGCCGGCATCTTTCGTATCGTGTGGTATCGTGGGAACGGAAAACATGCAACGGTAGATTTGAGAGAATAAGAAAAACCAGAATAGATTGATTCTGCGACAAAACAAATGGCGGGTGGCGGCGGGTGATGGATGTTGCCGGTTGATGTGATCGACGCCGATGCCGATAGCAGGACGTCGGCGCGCGGTCGCATTTGCCGAGGCACCTGGGGGCCGACCACCTAGAGCCACACCTCGAGCTTTCCGTTCCCCAAAACTGCGCCATCCCTGTAACACCTTCCCCCATGGGCACCTGAAGATCGTCCACTCAACCCCAGCAACATCGTCACCGCGACCGCGATCACAACCACCACCTCCGAACCTCGAAGAGAAAAAGTCCACGGCCTCAAAATACCTATCAATCCTCCCGAGGAACCACCCCCTTCGAATCTCGACTCGAACGCAAACACGCCAAACAATGTCGCAGACGGCGCGCGACTACCCGCCGACAAACTACAAAACGCCCTCGTTCCCCAGCATCAACTGGCAGCTCCGGGACCTGACGGACGACCACCACTGGAGCCTCTTCTACATTGATGACATATGGCGCTTCACCGTGCTATGGACGGTCATCATCTATGCCGTCGTGCACCTCGGCGCCGCGGCCATCACCATCGCCATGCACACCAACAAGCGCGGGTCGCTGACGTACATCTGGGCCGTGCCGCTGCTGTACCTGATTGTGTCGGGCGCGCAGGCGCTGGTCGCGGGTAGCGTCGTCGGGCTCATGTAAGTCCCTCTGTGTTGTATTTGGCATATTACGGGGGCACACACACAGAGAGAGAGAGAGAGGGCTGACTTGGGATATCATGTGTCACAGCCTAGCGGCCGTTTACCGTGCCGGCTTCTTCTCCATGTCGACTTGGATCCCGTTACTCTGGGGGGTCATCAACGTCTTCGTCCTCATCATCGCATCCTTCACCATCCAAGGCGGTCTGTGAACACGGATACGACGCAAGCGAAGGCATCTATACATACACACCTAAGCACGAATACAAAGCGAGGCACGCAAGCGGTATTACTACAAAGTAGAGCTAGAGACAATTCTGTTCGACACCTCGTCCGACGCCCTTGGTGTTGTCGGTTGCGATTGCTCCACGGCCTTGATGACCCGCGCCGGGTTGCCCGCCACACATACAAAAGGCGGAACGTCCTTGGTCACGACGCTCCCCGCGCCGACGGTCACGCCCTTGCCGATGGTGATTCCGGGCAGCACGATGACGTTGCCGCCGAGCCAGCAGTCCTCGCCGATGGTGATGGGCTTGCCCGACTCTGGCCCGCGTGTGCCGTTGCGGAGGCGGGGTTCCAGCGGATGTGTGCCGCTGTAGACTTGTCGGGAGGTCAGCCAAGGGGGGGTTCCGCGGGTCGCCTGTGCGCCAGATGGAGACAGCAGAGAGGTGGAGAGGGGACTCACATGAGCAGTTTGGGCCGATGAGGGTGCGGTCGCCTACCGTGATAAGGCAGGTGTCTATCCATGTGCTATTGGAGTTGACGTATACATTTTCGCCGAGCCTATAAGGCGGTGAGAAAGACATGCTTCACTTGGCTGCGGAGGGCCAGGGATGTGTCACATACTTCACGTTGTAGCCGTAGTCCATTTTTATAGGGGTGTCGATCCACGGATAATCTTCAAGGAGGGCATCGTCCTCGTGATGGCGGACACGCAGCCGAGGAAGAGGGATCGTGTCCCGGTTGATGCTGGGAGTGGCCCAAGTCAGACCCATTTACTCCTCATATCAGGCAGGTACACATGAAGCAATGTAAAGTTCCAGGTGACGATGGAAGCTCTGAATGGCCTTAAAAAAAAAGCCGAGATACAATGTTGCAAGGATATGACGATACGCGCAAAAGAAAGGGGCGGTAGAGATGGAGGGAGGAGACTCACTCTTTCCACATGCCGATGAGCGTACGGCGGCTCACGTCGCCGGCGTTGTTGAGCTTGTCGCAGGCCGCCTTGCAACGTTTCCGGTCCGCGATGAGATCCGGGGTGAAGGCCCAGTAGAGCTCGCCGTTCCGCATCCGCCTCCTGTTCTCCTCCTTGTCGATGGTGCGGATATCCATGGCTACGTCTTGCAGAATGAGCATGTGGATATGTCTCTGTGCACGCGCACGCGTTTGTGTATATGTGTGTATGTGTTTACGTGTTCAGCTTGTGTAAGGCAGAATGAGGTGAGGTGAGGTGAGGTAAGTCAGAGTATGTAAATTTGGGTGGGACTTGTCGGTGAGTAAAGGTTATCCGCAGAGATGGACAAGGTAGGAGAAAGAAAAGAAGCGAAGCAAGGTGTTTTCTACCGAGACGAAGCGAAGACAGGGCCTTTTGGAAACCTAGAGCACCCCCCAGACTTTTTGTGCAATGGGGAGACGGAAAGGGTCTCTATGGAGTGTAGGGTAGTGTATCGATCTCGGATGTCAATTGCCGGCCGTTATCGAGCTACGGCAGTAGTCTGGTAGTTTATTTCACGAGCTCCAACCTTGAAGAAGAGGCATTAAAGATCAAGTGACCAATGGAGCTAGGAAGAAGAAGGGAAAAGAGAACAGAGCTAGGAGGATGATCAGGTCGGTGAACCCGAGCAAGGTGCAGAATGAGATGGAGGGGACCTGGACCATGGTGGTCCTTCTGCTGCTCCTCCCCAGCGCTCCCCCAGCGCTCCCCCAGCGCTCCCCCAGCGCTCCCCAGGTGCTCCCCAGTGCCCCCTCCAAATTTGGAAGAAGCTAAGAAGCAGCTGCCAGCAACAGCAGCAGGAGCGCAGCACCAAGTTCAAAGCGCATCGAAGACCGCGGCGGGGGCTCCACGCACTTGCGTCACCCGCCCCCCTTAACTCGGCCCGCGCTCGCGCTTGGCCTTACCCGCGTCAAACTGTGTGTGCAGTGTGCAGCGTGCAGCGTGCTTCCCTCTCTCTCAGTCTCATGCAAACCCTCAAGCAAACAGTTGTTTGGCAGATCCCGTTTCTTCTATTCGTCTCCCCCCTCTCTCGGTGAATGAAGTAAGGGGCCCGCGGAGGGGCCCGCGGGCCCATGGAGAATTCATTGACAAAATAGTTTCACCCGACACCGGGGATAACCTCAGTAATTGTCTCCCAGTTGAGCTGAGGTGGATAAGGTGCCTTGAACTAGCGAGAAAGGTGGGGGAGGCGATATCTAATTCTGTATCTTACCTAAGGTTATCTTATCCATACAGAGATCCATCGTCTGTGCCATACTCTGCTTTTCCTGTCACCTCTCCACGATTGCGCTACTCCCGAAAACTGCAGCTACACCGGGAACCCACCCACAGGTATCTCACAATTCACGAATCCGAGTTGCCGTCGCGCATGTGGCTGACAAACGTCAACTTCAAATTCAACTCACTTACAGAGCACCTTGCTCACTCATCGCAACCCACCGCCACAGACGTTATGATCCGAACTGGAACAGAGTTACCAGCGCTGCCAAGTTTTCTCTCTTCTCTTCCCTTTCGTCGCAACAAACGTCTGTGTTGCAAACTGGAAACTCCCTCACCCCTCGCATTGGTCCTCGCATTGGAATGACGGCACTCGCACACCTGTGAAGGAAGCTAGAGCCAACCAACCTGCCCCGCCACACACACAGCACGCTCAACGTTGTCCGTCTCTTTGAGGCTCTTTTTTTTTTTTTTTTTTTTTTTTCCCCCCCCCCCCCCTCCCCACTTAACCCCTCCCCCCCAGCGGCGGACCCGCGCCCCCCCCCGCCCCCCCCCCCCCCCCCCCCCCCCCCCCCGCCCACGCTGCCCCCCCCCCCGCCGCCCTCCTCTTTTCTTTTTTCTTTTTTTCCCTCCCCCCGGTAACGACGTAAACTCTGCCACACTTGCACCTGCCTCGCACATCCCGCACCCCGCGGCCACCACCTACCCTACCTTGTACTGGCCCGAGTGGCTCAACCGACCTACTCAATTCTCAGAAACATCGGATCAACGAGTTTCACGCAACTGCCAAACCATGTCGACTTTCCGTCGGGTGTAAGTTACCACCTCCACCTTCCTATCTTGTGCTTCTCCCCCTATGCTTCAACCTCAGCCGCAACCCAGCCACAACACCCTCGGTCCCGGCATCAATCATGAGAATGCCGGCCGATCTCCGTTCCCTTCCCCGAACATCTCCTGTCCTATCCTGCCCTGCCACCGAGTGTGAGGCGAGTCGAGGCGAGGCGTGTGGCTGCGACCTCGACGACCCCCCAAGAACGTCCGTCTAGCGCGAAACTCTACCCCTTCAACACCAAGACCCCACCATCGCCATGTCCTTCCGCAGACCCATGAACCCCCTCTACTCTCAACCCTCAAGTCTCTTGGACTACCACCACAACCACCACCACCAGATCTCTCTCACTTCACAATCCCTTCGTGACCCTCCATCACACCACCACAGTACCCCCTCATCCCCTTATCCAACACCAACATCGCCTCCCTCATCAACTAACATCCCCGCCAGCGATGCCCGTCCCCAGGAACCCCCCATCCCGGGAAAAGAATACTATCCAAACCAACCGAAATCTCTCGCCGGCATAGCCCTCCGCGCCTTCCTCCTCGGCACCGCCTTCACTACCGGCCTCGTCTCACTCACCGCTCTCCTCCTAACAACATCCTCCCCCCTCTGGCGCCTCCCCTTCTTCCTCTCCGCCCTCTCCCTCTTCCACTTCCTCGAGTTCTGGACAACAGCAGCCTACAACACCCCACAAGCAACAGTCCATGCCTTCCTCCTGACAGCAAATTGGCCCGCCTACGCAATCGCCCACGCAACAGCTTTCGCAGAGTGCCTCATTGCAAATCTCGCCTTCCCCGGCGCCGTCTGGGCCCCCTTTGGTCTCCGGCCCGCCTTCCTCGCCGCCGGCCTGGCCCTCGCCGTCACGGGACAGACGGTGCGCTCCGCAGCCATGGTCACGGCCGGCCAGAGCTTCAACCACACCGTCCAGCACTACCGCGCCGAGTCCCACATCCTTGTCACGGGTGGCATCTACGGCTGGCTCCGGCACCCTTCGTACTTTGGCTTCTTCTGGTGGGCTATCGGTACCCAGCTCGTCATGGGCAACCTCGTTTCTCTCGCCGCTTACGCCGTCGTACTGTGGTACTTCTTCGCCAAGAGGATACGCCACGAGGAGGAGCTGTTGGTGAGGTTCTTTGGGCAAGAGTACGTCGACTACCGGAAGCGCGTCGGCATCATGATTCCGTTCTGTGGGTAGTAATGCTCTGCGAGGTATTCTTCACCTGCCGTACTGGAAAAGCGGAAAGTGGTGAACAAATGCCAATTATTAATTTTTGTCTAAAACCCAACCATAGTAGTGTACATAGAAAAAACCGTGAGACAAAACGCCGGTATAGTTGACGATTTTCGCCGATTACGAACTTGCCACCGAATTCCAAGCCATTTGCCTGCTGACGCTACCGTACTTGGCCTGCCACGCGTAGAAGTACATCAGAGCAGCAAAGGGCTGCCCGAGGATGGTGAAGGAAACCCAGAAAATACAGTTGCCAAGCATGCGACCCGTCGGGGTCTGCATCTTTTCCAGGGGAGTGGTGATGGCAATGAGAGGAAGTTGGAGGAACATGCCAGCAAAAGCAACACCTGTCCATGTTAACAGTCTGAATATAAAGTGAGCATTTCACCCGGGGGCGACCTACCAATAATGTTGTGTGTCGGAATGCCAACAAGAACCTCGTGCAGTACAGCGGACGCAAAGAAAACGGCCAGCTGGGCGGCCTTCGGGCTCCATCCTCGGCCGATTAGGGGTGAGTAGACGTGGCGCTTGAAGTACTGGTATACGGGCTTGTTCCACAACCTCCAATACGCACCCAGGCTCTCGCTATTCCACCAGTCCTCATAGAAACACCGGTCACCAAAGCGGGTAACCTCGGCGAGGGCGTTGAGGAATGACTGGAAGAGAGCAAAGAACCCGGCGAGCCAGATGACTAGAGAGATCGTGGAAAGCTTCATCAACCGCTCGAGAATCTTGGGAACATCCAGAGACGCAATCTTATCGAGAGAGTTGATGAGGACAGGGGTGGCATACTGGGCGCTGGCGAACCAGATGAAGACGCCCAGACCAAACACCTCTGCCATGCGCTTGCCGACAAAGACCCATCTGATCTTGTCTGTTCTCGGGTACGCAGGTTGGTAGACCAACGTCGGGGCCCACCAAAAGTACGCCAGGTTGTGCATCGAAATATTCTGAGGATAGGGGCACTGCTGATAGATCTCAGGCATGGCGGCGAGCTCGCCCTTGACGGGGTGCAAGTAGGCGTGTCGAAGGTCTCGGTTCGTGAAGGCGTATGACGCCGTCTTGAGCCAGACGATGATGGCGTGAAGCTCAGTCAGGGTGCCGATCAAAGGGTGGTGAATGTGGAAGTACACGACGTAAGAGGTGACAGCCAGGGCGAGCGTAATGTTGACGGCGTGGATCCAAGCGATAATCTTCCAGGTAGAGTTGAACCGCGAGCGCTGGTCCTCTGTCGGGCTAGCGGCTCCGTCCTTTGATTTTGCCCGCAGGCCCCTTGCTTGCTGAGCAGCGGCCAGTTCGATCAGGTATGCGGCGAACAGATGGCAGGGAATCAGGAGATATAAGCCCAAGCCGAGAGCGAGATCTTGCCGGCGGAAATCGTGACAGCGAACACAGATTAACACTCCATACTACAAATGATTAGTGATGTTGATCCACACATCAAGACCGGCCCGTGGAAGCCTACTTTTTGGATGTTCTCCATCATCAGACGAAGATTACCGACAACTGCACTTGGTTAGCTAAAGCCATCCACACAGCTCTGGGATCGGCTCGACATACTTAATACAATTACCATTAGGTTCCTGAAGCCAATGAAGCTCGGGGCTGTATTAGAGTCATGGCTCAGGGTTGAAGGGCGCGATTTGGAGTGGACGGCAGCAACGTGTCTGTATTTCTTTTGAATGGCTCTCCTCAGCTCCTCTGTCGTACGGTTGTTCTCGGATGTAGTCGGCTTGGCAGCGGTCTTGAGGTTGGAGGTGCCATTGGAGTTGCCATTGTGCTTGTTACGCAGGGATGACGAGGCAGTGGTGCTTGAGCTCTCGAGGCTCGTCACCGTAGCCGTATTCATGGCGGGTCGGACGTCCTTGGAGCTATTGGGTCCTCAACAAGAATGTGAGAAGGGGATGAAGGGAAAGCGTCCGCAGTGGATGACGAGGGGGAAAAGATGGGTGAAAGTCTAAAAGTGAGGAGACGTAGGCTGGTAAGGAAGAGAGCTATGTATATGCAATGCAGGGAGAGAAGTGGTGGCAAGCGCGATAAGATATCGGACTTGTGAGTAGCAGGGTACCTTACCTAGCTAGGTGGTCTCTTTGCAAGACACCGCGCGCAGCCGGGCCAGGCAAACAAGAGTACGGATTGACTTTGTGGCCGGTGTTTCCAAGGGACAACGGACGGCGCCCGCGAATCGATCTGAGCTCCTTTAAGGACTGAGGAGAGGCTATTTTATCTGGACGGTCTAGGGCGCATTGGCCTTTTGGCTGTGTCTAGTGAGGGGCAATGGCTGAGGTGCAGGAAAGTGATGTGTACCTTCAAGAAGGGGGTACGTCAAGGCACAGGGGGGGAGGAGTAAGGTAGGAGGAGGAGCAGGGAAAATCAAGTGGAGGAAGCTAGGCCGACGCCATCAGCCCTTGCAGCGTGGGGATTCGTTCATCAATGTGTGGAGGAATGATGGAAGAGGAGGCGTGCTGACGACAAGAATGCAGAAGGCGTGCAAGACGAGCCAGTTGAAGAGACGCGAGGCAGAGACTGATCAGAGACAAGGAAATGCAGGTGAGCTAAACAAAACAAAAGGAAAGAAAAAGGAGCAGAGAAGACGAACGAGTGACGAGCCAAGTGCCAAGGTTACCTTGGATGATGGCACGGTCCATTGGGGCGGGTTTGGAAGGGGGGACCTTGGGAATGTCAGGGTCGTTGAGCTGTCTAGCCCGGAACCTGGCTGCATCAACGGAGCACCTCAGGGCCAGCGCTAACGCATGACCGCCGAGACAGCAGACGAGGAAAAAAAAAAGCCCGCCATGTGTATAATCACCCAACTCATCCTGCATCCTGACGCCACCAACTTAGGCAGTTGAGGCCCTGATAGAGAAAAGTCGCATGCATTCAATGCACGCCAAGGGTCTCTACGGCTCCACGGATACTGACGGCGATCCCCGATGGCAGCTTTGAGTGGTCCAACTTGGGGGTCGCCTCATGGGTTCAGGGAATTTGAGAGTCAGAGAAAACGAGAAAAGAGCCGTGGCGTGCAACTGAAATCACATGTGAAAATGTCAGGGGGATGGGACGGGGAATTTCTCTCACGCCAGGAAAGGTGCCGGGGGCGTGTTGAGAGAAATCGCACCTTGCCGCAAATTATCGCCTCACGATGAATCGCGGCAGCGCGGGATATTTTTGGGCATTCGCGGCATGGGAAATTTGGAACTTGGCCCCGATATTGGCCCGGATAAGAAAACCGATAAAATCTAAGGTATGGGCCACTGGCTGCACTGGTGCGCCCTCCAGGGAAGTGGTGGGTGAAGCGGTACGTATCCAGGCCTGCATTAGCTCATCGGCGGATGTTAACGTTGGACGGGGAGGTGATGCTCCAGCTCCTATTGAACACTGACCATACTGGGTCATGTGACTCCGAGAAAAGCAGCTGGCCTGTGCGCGCGTCGCGGTCGTTTTCACTGTGATTGGCGACAGACTAGCCTCGCGGAACCGAACACTGTGAAGCTCCGTCAGCAACAAGCGCCAATTCACATTTTGCTGAAACCTCGGGGTTTAGTTCATCAGCCATATACTTCGTCTGAGCTAAATTCCAAGAGTGGGAAACTGCAAAACGCTCATGAGAGTCTAAAGATGGCGTATGATCCTCGAGGGGATCACCATGGCAGGAGAGGAGGAGGCCCAGGCGGCGATGGAGAGGGCCAAGATGGTGGTTTTGTGAGAGCCAGAGGTCGACGTGAGTTTTTACCCAGATCCTTTGGCACATTCACATGTGTAAAACACCAGATTGGAAGTGCTTAGTCCACTCGACCAGAGACTGAGGTGAAGACCATCGAGTCTCCTCGACTCACACAGTTGCGCGCTTGGGACTTTGACGGGCCTCCACAAGCAGATAGCTGACATACCCAGGACCCGTTACTGATTACGGCTCAACCGTCGCCAACTGGATGCGCCACCGCTCACCACTCGACGGCGATGCCTACACCGGAGAAGTCGAGAGGCCGAGTGCCAGCTTCATTGTCGACGTGAGTCCTCTGCAAAGGTCGCTGTCTCATCTCATCCCTCACACTAACATCCTTACAGTTCACACCACCAGCCGCGAGGAGGACAGATCCCGGCGACACAATCCCAGTGAAGCACCTCCACTCATCACTGAACAAGATCAAGCACCCGGTCAACGTGGTCCGGTGGACGCCGGAAGGCCGCCGCCTGTTGACGGCGTCAAGCAGTGGAGAGTTCACATTATGGAACGGCACGGGGTTCAACTTCGAGACCATTATGCAAGCACACGACTCTGCCATCAGAGCGCTGGCCTACTCCCACAATGACGACTGGCTCATCTCTGCCGACCACGACGGAAGCGTCAAGTATTGGCAGCCCAACTTTAACAACCTCCAGAGTATCGCCGCGCATAACGATCCGGTGAGAGATCTCGCATTCAGCCCGAACGATTCCAAATTTGTCACAGCATGCGACGACTCGACGCTAAAGATTTTTGATTTTGCCGGAGGAGTGGAGGAGTCGACCCTGAAGGGCCACGGCTGGGACGCGAAGAGCTGTGACTGGCATCCGACCAAGGGCTTGTTAGTATCAGGCTCAAAAGACCACCTGGTCAAGCTGTGGGATCCCAGGACGGGCCGGTGCTTGACCACTCTCCACGGCCATAAGAACACCATCACAAAGACCTTGTTCGAGAAGGTCCAGGGTGACTGCCTGGCGACTTCGGCACGAGATCAAACTGCCCGTGTCTTTGACCTACGCATGATGCGCGACATCTGCCTGCTCAAGGGACACGAAAAGGACATTTCAACAATCGCCTGGCACCCAGTTCACTCAAATCTCCTCAGCACAGGTGGCCACGACGGCTCCCTATACCACTACATCCTGGACGAACCCAACACGCCTGCCGGCCACGCAAACTCCATGGCGCCCTACGACAGCTCCGACCCCTCGACGACCCCGGCGCAGACGATATACCCCGCGCACAAGGTCCCCTTTGCCCACGACTTCGCCATCTGGTCCCTCGACTGGCACCCGCTCGGCCACATCCTCGCCTCGGGCTCCAATGATCGCATCACGCGGTTCTGGTCCCGCAAGCGGCCAGGCGACGCCGACGTCTTCCAGGACCGCTACCATGTCGGCGAAGCCGCCGCCGAAGCCAACGGCACCTGGGACCGCCGCGGCGGGCGTCGCCAACGGCAGGAGGAGGAGGAGATGGAGATGGAGGACGAAATGGACGGCCTCGTCGACCAGAAGATGCCCCTCAAGCAGCCCATGGTGCCAGGGTTCCCAGGTCTACCGGGCCTGCCGGGTCTGCCGGGTCTGCCTGGACTGCCCGGATTACCGGGTCTCTCGATGCCGCAGAACGGCGCCGCCGGCGGTCCAGTACCACCGCCGCCCATGATACCGGGCGTGGGCGGCGCAGGCGGAGCACCCCCTCCGCCTCTGCCGTTCCCTCTACCCGGTCTGAACGGTGCTCCGCCGCCGCCGATCCCCCTCCCCGGCGGCATCGACCCGAGCAACCCCGCCGACCTGGCCAAGATTGCCGAAATGATCCAAAAGGCCGGAGGCACCCTCCCTCCTCCGCCACCCGGCGGTTTCGCACCGCCGCCAGGCCTGGTTCCACCGCCAAACTTCGTCCCGCCCCCAGGATTCCCACCCATGCCTATGCCGCCTCCGGCAAACAATAACCACAGGGACGACCACGGTGGCCGCGGCGGTAGGAGGGCCCCGCTCCCTAGTCAGGAGGAAAGTCTTAAACAAGAGCAGCGACGGGGCAATTACACGAGATCGCGTTGAGAGAGAGAGCGAACAGGGAAAAAGAGGGAAGAGCAGCGGAAAAGGGGTTCAAGGCAAACGAGTCGGAAGACGTCGATCTCGTTGCTCCGGCCCTCGTTGTCCTTCATGTATGATTAGTGGCTTTGAGAAGGAAAACGGGTCGATACCCTGGCGTTGGATGGGAACCAAAAAAAAAAAACAAGACAAGTCACCGCGGAATTCTTCCATCGTCTTTTCTCACAGCTGGATATATGTAATGGCGTGCTGTCGCCAACCGTCGATTGCCTAGGCTGACCTAATGTACATGTGCGTCGCTGCTGTGGTGTGAAACCCTCTGCATGATGCTTGCGCCGTAGCTCTGGTATGCAATAATGCGATGCGGCCAACCTCTCTCCCTCTCTGTCTCTCTCTCGATCTATCGTGGTTGCTTCCCTCTGAGATACGATAATGGTACACACGTGATGAAAGAAACCGGGGGAAAAAAAACCGAGCTGGCTCATGCTAAATCCCCGCCCAAAAGAAAATTGCCCAAGGGTCCAAAGCGAAATGCGACATCCCCGCACTCGACGACGCGGTCCCGACCATGCAATACCGAGACTCCAGCCTAAGAACTCGGGCCACGGCCCTTGCCGCCGCCGCCTCCAATCTGCTTCTGCCTGTCTGCGTACTCCTTGACGACAATGGCGCACGACGCCTCGGTGCAGAGCCTCTTGCGGCGCTGCGGCGCAAGCTCGGACGCGAACTCGAGACCCGCGGCGCGCTCGACGGCTTCGAGGGGCATCTCGAACTCGGATAAGGGCTTCGTGTTGGGGATGGGCGCATTGGGCATGACAAAGGCGCCGATGGCGACGTTGCCGCCGGGTTTCCCGTCCTCCGCAAAGATGACCTTGTAAAAGTGCGTCGGCACGGCGACGTTGGGCGGGTTGCCAATGACCTCGTACTTTGTGTACCACTTGCCGTCGACGGGATCGCGCTTGGGGAGGTAGAGGGGTCCCGTGACGATGCGGACAGAGGGGTACCGCGTTGTCAGCCGGCGGCAGAAATCCTCGAAATGGGCCCAGTAGTCGCGGTTGAAGCCGTCGCCGACCTGCGGGCACATGTTTGTGAGGTAAAATGTGTCGTCCATGGCCTTTTGGGACCACTTGCAGTCGGCGGCGGGGACCTGGTGGCCCCGGTCGTAGCCGCTGCGGAAGTAATCTTTGAGCTTGGCCTGGAACTTGTCGGGCACGGCGGCGTCCTCGACAAAGGTGCTGTGCTTGCGGTCGCCGTCGCGCTGGGCGAGGGAGGCGGGTGTGATGTGCTCGACGACCCAGTGCGGGTTGCGGGTGCGGCGGTCATAGCTTGAGACGAGGCCTTGACGGTTCGCGAGGTCGGCTACGGGGCCGGGGAAGCCGTATTCGAAGAGGCCTGCCGGGTTCACGGGGCTGCCGCCGGGCACGGGGATGCCGCCGCCGCCCAATGGTGAGGGTGCGGCGGGAGGTAGCGGCGCGGCGTTGGGGTTGGTGAAGACTTGGGTGCCGGGCACCGGGACGGAGGGGGCGGTCGAGAGAGAGGTCGTCGTCGTTGTCGTGGTGGTCGCGGTGGGCGGTTGCTTTTGAGAGCGCATCGAGTACATCGTCGCCGTGAGCGCGGCGCCGCCTCCGGCGCTTAGCGCCGCAATGAGGGCGAGGGAAGTGGTTTTTGACATGCCGACGGTTTTCGCAGGGACGCGGTTCCGTGTTTTTTTTTTTTTTTGTTCTTTTCTTGGCTTCTTCTCTTTCCCTTTTGCTTTTGCCAATACCACGAATTGATGAAGGCTGAGGGGGTTGGAAAATTTCCCAATTTCAAGCGTCCGCGGTCGCTGACACTATTCTGGCCACGGGGCAAGGAGGAACGGGCATGTGATGATGTTGCTAGCGGTGGTGTGGTGGATGTCTCACCTGTCCTCACGGCACGGGGATCTGGAGCTCGGAGCTGGAAAATTTTGGGTAACGGTCGGCGACGCATATCCCGGGGAAGCGATTTCCAGGGACCTGTTCGGAAATGGAACAGCTCAGCGCGGCAGGGGAGATGCAGCCACGCAGCTTGCTTGTCCCGAGCATTTGCCGGGCAGGTGGGCTGGAGGGATTTTGGAATGCCGGGGGGGGGGGGGGCCCGGGGGGAGGGGGGCGGGGGGGGGGGGGGCGCCGCGGGGGGGGTGGTGTGGGGGGGGGGGGGGGGGGGGGGGGGGGGGGGGGGGGGGGGGGGGGGGGGGGGGGGGGGGGGGGGCCTGGGGAAAATGGATCTCGGTGTGATGTGCTCACCGAGTCGGCGGTGACCAGTGTGTGCAAGAGACAAACCGGGACGGCGGATGACCAAACCCCGGCCTCCGATTCGCAGCTTATATCCAACCCTGCGGCGAGACGCAAACTCTCTCTTTGAGGAAGGATCCTGGCCTACCAGCATCAAGCAATCAAACAAGACACAGCAATAGCATGCCGCTTCGACCACAATTATAAGAGACCTTTCACGTGTGACGCGGTCTTTCTAATTACAAGAGCGCTTCGGGCGGCTTCGCTGAGGTGGCGGCGGTTGGCGCACATCACGGGGCTCGAGGTAAGGTACGTGGATACCTCATCCCGCCATCCGGGTTCTCAAAGCCAAGACCGGATCCATTCGTGGAGGTGAGCTGTCAATATGCCTTGACTCGGTCTGGGACATGGGCGAGGGATCCTGAACAAAACGCGAACAGCATTGCGAGTATATATTATTTTGTGACCTGTCCGGCAGGCGAAACCCGTTTTCTCAACGGGATAAACAAAATCGTGCTGTTGGCTTGTTCATCGCCTCAACTCTCGTTGAAAAGAGCCGCATGTTTCCTGCATCAGCAAGGAAGAATAGGTGGGTTGTTTTCAGGCAGGGCCAGACGGCAAGCTGCAGGGCGGCATTCAACTTATTTACGAAGGATTAGCGCCTGGTAACACCGTAGGGAGTGTACAAGACCAAAACAGAAGAAAGCATGCAAGTAAGAATGAAAGGGAAACGGACTCTGTCGGGACGTGAGACATAGGAGTGACGAGTCTGATTGGGAAAAGCCATCAAGGTTCTCAAAATCCGGTGCAACAACCCCATGGAAAAGACGGCAGGCCCATAAGGGCCCCGGCCACCCATCCCCCATCCTCCCCAGCCATCATGGACCATCACTGGGAAACAACGCACCGGCCCCGCCAACAGAGCCAGATCCAGCGCCTCCGAGTCCACGTCCAACGCAGGTGGAAAGCTTAAGGCTCTCCCCACCTCCCTGCGCGCGAAGACGCCTTTGATCTCACTAGCAGCCATCGACATCACTACATTACTCTCTTTGCAAAATTACGGTACACTCATTCGTTCGCAATCACCTCCTCTCCTCCGCTTCTCTCGCCTCTCTTACCTGTGACGAGTACCTCGAAGGCCTCGCCCTAACACCCTGATATCCTCTCTTCGACAATCTACTTCCCTGCATATTCTACGGCCTACCTACATACTCAACTTGCACCGCGGTCCTTGCGCACGTACTACCCTACGTCAGAGGCCGGCCGCTCTGCTGCGGAACGAGACGCAGCTACCTAAACCATATACCGTATCCAGTCTCTTGGGATTGCGACGACACTCAAACATATCGAATCGCACACGAGAAGATATAAAATTGCGCACCCGCCTCTGCATGTGCTGAGCACATAGGCATACTATTGGAATCGATTGGCGGCGTTGAGCCAAGCTGCTCATCATGGAGTCTACAGACATCGACAATGACACCAGGGGGTGGATCATGTGCATCGTGAGCGGAATAGGTGGGTGATCAAGCGCATACACTGCGCCGTGCCTCGGCCTCCTGTGACGAACAGTGGCTGACGTGTTGCCGGATGACAGCCTGTGTCGTGGGCGCATCTATCATTTGTGTTGATCTGGTTATACGATACATTCCTGGGAAACGCAACTTCAGGATACAAGACAGCAATGCCTTCCTGGCATGTTCTCTGAGTCTGAGCTTTGGTGTCATGGTGGGTTGAACCCAAGAAGATTTGCCCAACTGGACTTGATACTCTGATACTGACCGTGTCCTTACAAAATAGCTTTACTCGGCATTAAACAACATGCTCCCATCGGCGAAACAATACCTTAAGGAGGATGGCTTCCAAGACCAGGTCGCAGGACTCCTTATGATGGCCTGCTTTATTGGAGGCTTTGTTGGTATCCAGGTCATTTCACGGCTGCTGCACCAGTACATGCCGTCTCACGTTGTCGATTGCGACCACACACATGACCACAACGAGAGCGATGCCCGGTCGCGTAGTCAGAGTAGAAAGACTTCCTTGTATACCTCGAGTCGCCGCTCCTCTCGACGACCGCTCGTTGATAGACTAGCAAAGAATGGCCACGCCACCGAGTCTACACCCCTACTGAATGGAGAGGTCGCACACGAGAACGGCGCACCACCTATGGCTCAGCGCCATGCCTCGAGTAGGGCCAACCCGAGCCTCAACACCACCCACTCAACTTCCACGACCCGAACCTCGCGAAGCCGCGGCCCCACCGTGGATAGACGACCGTCTATGGCCCAAGTCCAACAGCGGGTCATGTCTTTCGTCAAAGACACGAAAACGAACTGTGACGAGGAGGGTCCATGCTTTGGCTACACTGACCCTTGTGGCCAGGAATGCTTCAAGCACTTGAGCAACCGCACGACGTCCACGTCGAGACATCCGGCTGTCTTGCGCACCAACACGGGGCATTTCTATGCCCATAGCCATACAGACTTGGAGGACTTGGAAGAGGGCGGTTCCTCTTGTAACTCTCCAATCAGTGGGAAGATGCGGACCAGCCGCGCAACTTCGAGGGAACCTCTGCCGGAGCACGAGGAGGCGCATCACCACCACGAAGAAAGCCACGGCCATGGGCATGACCACCAGGATCACGACCATGACGCTCACAGCAACGGCGAGCACGCGGACGAAGATGTCGAGGCGCAGCATCACCACCACGTCCCTACTAACGCATTCCTATCCCTTGGTTTGCAAACGTCGATCGCCATCGCGCTCCACAAGTTTCCGGAAGGCTTCATTACCTACGCGACTAACCACGCAAATCCCGCGCTAGGGTTCAATGTCTTCATGGCCCTATTCGTCCACAACATTACCGAAGGGTTTGCCATGGCACTGCCGTTGTACATGGCACTCGGGAGCCGCATGAGGGCCATGTTCTGGGCCGCGATCCTCGGCGGCCTCAGCCAGCCTTTCGGCGCAGGCATCGCTGTGCTATGGTTCAAACTCGCGAAGCATACCCACATCACCCCGAATGCTGTCTCTTATGCTTGTATGTTTGCTATTACAGCTGGAATCATGGTGAGCGTTGGTCTTCAGCTTTTCGTTGAGGCGCTCAGTTTGAACCACAACCGGAACCTTTGCATCTTATTTGGATTCATGGGAATGGCCCTGCTGGGCATCACGGGCGCCATCGCTTCTACGCATTAAAGAATTGGCACGGTATTGGTAGAATCATCACGCTGGAAGATCAAAATTCCTCACTCATCGGCGTTAAGGATCGTTTGTTTTTGTTCCCAGGTACACTGTTTAACATGGATTGGCATGGATGAGGTTGGCGGGACACGCATACATTTATACCCTCATAATGGGTAACAGGTTTATGGGCTTCAACTGTATAGACTGGGTAGGCGGCTCACTATTGAGACCTCTCGTGGGCACTGGGCCAAGTTGGTTAGGAATGGTTGGATTTGGGGTTTGTTGCGACGCATCTAGTGCCGCTCGCGATTATAGATATGGCAATCAAACAATGAAATTCGAAGGCTTCCTTACTATTGATTCGATACGCGAATATGTGATGCTGTTTAGATTTGAGCGCCAGCTTCCGCTATTCTCTCATTGTGGTGTGTGATTTATACTCACAAAGTTTACCAGCTCTATGAAAGTTGACGGAAAGGACAAAGCTGCAAATATTCTTCAAAAGGAAAGGAAGTACACAATGTGAAGCCAAGGGCGTAATCGACATTGTCACGATTTGTCGTCACCGCCGAGCATCGAGCATATGACGATGCTGAGAATCGGACCTGAGAGGCGATGGCTTGCCGGGAAATGTCCCATGGGATTGCGCCAATCACTACAATACCAGCAAGAATTGAGTTTGAAGCGCGGGCCGTTGTGGCTCACACTGGGCTTTGGCTGGGCTGCCAAGATCCAACGGTCTCTTTGCGCACCGGATTCCACGAGATATTGAGAGTAATTCAAGCATGTGGAAGATCTGGCATGGCATGTCATGGGTTGAACAAGATGAGACGCACCAAGTCTCTTGAAACGAGAGAGGGTTCGAGAATAAGTGGCCGTGGGTCCCTAGCCACGCGCTCCCCTTGTTTTCGACCCACGAGGAGCACGTCGAGGGTCATCCAAGCAAACCATGAGCGTATCGTAAGGAGGAGCAGAAGTTAAAACGGATATATACTGTGAAATCACGGCAAAAAGAGTAGAAGAGCGTGGCTTGCTGAGCTTCTCTCACTGTGCCCCCACTTCATCCCGCCAAAGGTCCCAAAGCCAAGGGGTCTAGAGCTTGGGCCGTCCTTCACCTGTAATCCAATCAGAGCTGCGGCTGCCGCGCGCAATGTAAACAAACGAGCGGCCCCTCTCCAAAATATCCCCGTCGCGCTCTACGTACCGTACCGAGCCCAGAAACCCCATCCACTCCTCGCCTGACATCATCAACCCTTCTTCTTCCGAACCAGGGACTCGCTGGCTCGACTTTCTTCGTCTCTGCTTTCCTCGATCCTTTCCGACATTGCAATCGTACGAATCACGACGATTCCTCACGGTCAAACAGTCCAAGATGTCGTCGCCGCCTCGCCGCCGTTCGGCCCGGTTGGCCAGCACCAACACGCCCAAGGTAAGGAAAGGCTCTTTGACCGCTTCTGTAAACAAACGGCGCCGGCCTAACTCACACATTTTTATTTTCTTTATCTATAGCCCAAGGCCAAACCCACTCTGGCTTCCGTTGCCGAGCGCGATGACACTCCTCCTGCTCAAGAGATCGCTGAGAGTCTGAATGCGCTCGTCGTCCCGAATCACGATCCCGCGACACCTTCTTCGCACTCGAACCTCAAGGCTCCGTTGTCGGAAATGCACCCGAGCAAAGTTCATCCCACCGCAGCACCACCCTCAGCTACCTGGCTTGGCTTCAGAGACATGGACCCCTCCGACAAGAAGGCCGATCCTCAGGCGACGCCTTCCAAGACCACGCAGGCGACGCCTTTCAAGACCACGGGCGTGCCCGAATCGCCTTTCACCTTTCGCGTCGCCCAGCCTACCGGAGACAACGGTCTGAGCAGCGATGCTCAGCAGATGATGAACGAGCTGCGCGAGGAGGCGGCCAGAATCAAGGCCGAACTGCTCGCCAAGCGTGAGCTGGAGAGAGAAGATGAAGAGATCAACGGACGCAGGATCGCCAAGGCCAGGGGCAAGTCCGGTCGCTTCAGCGCAGTTCACATGGCTGAGTTCAGAAAGATGGACTCTATCGAAGGTCATCCTTCAGCTTTCCGAGCCCAGCCTGGCTGGGACACTCCTCTCAAGAGCTTGAAGCGTACTCAGTCCAAGGCGAACCTTGATGACACGCCTGCGCAACCGAAATCTAGCTTGAAACGATCACCCTCGAAGGCTACCTTGGACGACACGCCGACGCAGCCCAAGTCTCTCCTGAAGCGGTCCCAGTCCAAGCCGAACCTCGACGATACCCCCACCCACCCGAAGTCGATCTTGAAGAAGCCGTCCAAGATCAACCTGGGCATCCCCGATACGCCGTCCCAAAAGAAGTCTAGCCTCAAGCGTTCTCCGTCCAAGGCCAACTTTGACGACGCAGACTCCAACGACTCCAAAAAGTCGTCCTTTGGACCTCGTCCCAAGTCTCGCATCTTCGCCAACATTGAGCCGCCCTCGTCAGTCAAGCGTGTGCGACAGCGCTTCGAGGACGATGCCACCACCGCTCGGCCGGTCTCTCGCGATGGCAGTTCCCTTCCGCGCCCCAAGTCTAGCGGAACAGACGCGCCTGCCAGTCTTCGATCCCAGCCCAGTCTGGCATCCCTCGCGAGCCCCACTGCGTCTTCCTTGGCTCGCGCTGCTGGTTCCAAGATGCCCTTGCCTGGCACTCTCACCAAGTCAGCCAGTAGGCCCGATCTCGGATCGCTCGTCAAGTCTCCCTCGAAGCCCGAGCTTGGGAGTCTCAGAAAGTCGCCGTCCAAGCCTGAACTGGGTGGTCTCACAAAGTCTGCCACCACCAACAATCTTGGTGTGTTGGAGAAGACGGCCGAGCTGAAACGCCGAATTGTGAGCCCTGGTCGCTTCGAAAGAGTCAAGTCGATCCTGCGCGGCGGAAAGGGAGCCTTGGACAGGACGAAGAGCGCTCTTCCCAAGCCCGCGTCTGGTATCTCCCAGACTCCTGCACCTCAGGCTGCTGAGAAGACCATTCCCGCTGTTCCATTCACCACTCCACGAAGGAAGTTGTTTAAGAGAGTCGACTTTACCCCGGACACTAATCGAGCCGCCGATGCTCCGAACACAGTCGCACACCGAGCATTTGCGAGCGTGAGCCCTATTCACAAGTATGGGGAGGTTGAGTACCCGAGCCTCGACGCCATGCTTGGCAATGTCACACAGCGAAAGAAGGACGGCAATCTCTATCCCGAACTGAACGTCGGTAGCCCGTGTGAGAAGGTGACCGAGGAGGCAAATGAGAGCGTCAAGCCTCTGCCTCCGACCGTGCCTGGCACGTTCACTTTCCGCAGCGACCACACCATTAGATTTGGTAGCGCCTCTCCCACTGGCTTTGGTTCGTCTGCTGGACAAGCCAGTATCCGTCATGTACGAACCTCGCAGGACATGCCGGGTAGTTTCCCCACTGGCCCCGAATTCACCTCCAACAAGGAAAACAGATCTCCCATGCAGTTCCTGGCCGGAAAGCCCCACGGCATGACCAACAAGAAGCGGGCTCGAGCTCGTGAAGAGGAAGGAGACCTTGAAGTGGAGTCGGCCGATAGAGCTGGCAAGAGACGCAAGGCCGAGCATGTCCCCGAGGGCGATGCTCTACTGGCCCCCAGACTGATGGGTGCTACTCCGGGCACTATAGGCAAGAAGCTTCAGAGCCCGCGAGTTGTTCAATCGCCGAGCCCCACGAAGAAGCGCAGTGGTATGAGCCTGAGCCGACTCAACATGCTGGCGAAGCCGAAGGCTCGCCACTAAGTGTGCCACGATGGACTGCCCGACAACTTGGTTGGTGAAAAGAATGCAAAACCTAACTTTGGTCTTGTTGGACTGTATAATTTGATGAAGAATGCGGATATCTGGCGAATTGGACACATGCTGTCGATTGCATTGCAGGACCGTTGACCTTGAGTAGTGCGAGATCAAGGGGGATACGACTGGCGTAACATGGATGATTATGAATGGAATAGGCTGGACCACGGCGGTTGCATGGGGGCATATGGGATGGTCTTGGCGTTGTGTCTGCTTATTTCTGTACAATACCTACTGGCGTTGGGATGAGATTGTCTTTTATTTTAGTTCTCAGCCAAGGTTATACTGCTGCTGAGCTTCGAGTCTTTCAAAAGTTGCATTTCCATCATACGAGAACATGATGATCTTGAGCTGATTTGGTGTTAGTTCGGTTGAGTGACGATCACTTTCGTCAGGTGCTGCTACAGCTGCGATGGGCGGCGGTCCGGGATACATAAGAAGGAACGATGTATCTGGTTTCTGAGGCAGTTGCTATCACTGACCACCTACATTAAAGGACACAGATCTCGGCGTCCTCTCTCTCTCGTCTGGCTTTTGCATTCCATCTTCTGACTTAGTATCGGCGTCCATTCATTTCTACACAGGTATCGTTCGTGACCTTTACAGACCTGGGCATTTTCTGCAGTATGGCATCACAGGGACCAACTCCGTTTACTTGCACCTTTTGCTTCCAGCCTTCCGACGGGCCCCCACACGCCATTGGCCGGGGAGCCCGCCTGAGCTGCTCGCCCTGCTACGCCGCGCTGATCGACCTCGCCATCTGTTAGGTCTGCGGCGAGATTGTCTACCGCGGGGACGACTGCGTTAGCTTGGGATAGTGCTTCTGGCATCGCGCGTGCTACGGGTGTTTGTTTTATGGGAGCAAGCTCGTCTATCGAGGTGTGCCTTTGCTGGACCTCTTCGACGAGCGTCGCGATGCCGATACTTATGAGAGGAGCACAGCCTGCACGGTTGCTGGGACGGCGGGCAAGGGGAACATGAGAGAGGTCGAGGTGCCGCCGCGTTGTGCTGCGTGCTATCTTGGTACGGAGGGGGAGGATGTTGTGCAGAAGGGATTGAGGAGGGTTGAAAAGGTTGATGGCGGACTAAGTCGCGCGAGATGGGATTCTGGGGAGGGTAGAGCTGGACAGTTGAGGAGGGCTCCGGCAGTAAGTTGTCTGAGGATGAGAACAGAGTTAATACTAATTTCACACAAGTATATCCGATCTCTCAGCCGAGATTCGTCGTCGTTGCGCAGAATAGGAGACGGGTCTCATGACGAGAGCAGAGGGCATCTGGCAACGCCGCGTGCAGACTCTACGATATACGTCTCCATCAACGACCCGATGGGCCAACCTGCATTCAAGCCAAGTCCTACGAAGCCGATACCTATCTGGATGCAGCCGTTCCGGGATGTCGAGCAAGCCGTCAACGAAGAGCAAAGAGCACCTCTTGCTTCTCATCCTCTAGTAGACCTTTCGCAAACCCCGGCGACATCAACGTCCGGGACCCCTACAATGCGGTCGACGAAATCACTTACGCCGACCATGAGACCAACTACGCCTGTAGGCTCCACCTCACCACCGCAAACACCGCCTAGGTCCCGTTCAATCTGGACGCCGTCAGAGATCCGACGAGCTCCGCCCCTCTCGTGGGTCAGCAACGAGCCCCTCAAGCGACCCTCTTCTCGTTTTGCGTCCCGCCTCGAAAAGTCGGATGCGACGACCTCGTCGGGTTATGTCACTCCTCCCGAGAGGCCCTCCGAGCAGCAGTCGCGGTACAACACCCCACCGCCGCCGCAGCTACGACGCAAGCGGCCGCAGAGTCCACTAGTACCTGCTCGCGTCCCACGGCGCCACGCCGTGGGTCGAACGCCTCCGCCTCAGTCATCCGAATACCTAGAAAGGTACAATCCCATACGGTCCCCATCACCGCGGCCGCGGATCGCACAGCCCGTCGTGGCGGCCTTTGGTCAAGCCAGTCGTGCCAGGGCCAGCTTGGCGCTATCCCGGGATACAGCTGACGCAACGGAGGACGACGGCAGTGGTCCGGGTCCAAATTCGAATCAGAGCGCGGAGAGACTCCTCTCGGACGGAGCCGATTCACCCGGCGAGGTAGGGAAGAAGAGGAACATGCAAGCTTTAAGGAAGCTGTTTGGGAAGTGAGAGGACTGACGGGGCAGGCATGCCGGACCCAGAGATAGGGCAGCACTTGGGCAAAAGTGCTTTACTACTAGCAGTAGTGCGGAATGTAGAAACATACGAGACCAGTATGTATAATCACCGAATGAGGTCTCGATTACAAGCCTGCCAACATTGTGTATTCCTCTCGGGACATTGACAACAAAATTCAACGCAGAGTCATGAGCTATTCACTCAAGTATCTACGTAGAGGGGTCGTTAGACTGAGCCCTTCCACAAATAAAGACCAGGGTCGCGGCATAACGGCCGCGACGCGCCAGGGACCCCGTCTGCAGTCGCACTTGACATCCCTGCAAGCCTCTTGGTTCCGCCCCCCACACGGTAACACCCACCCACGAGGTGTGTGCCACCGGCCCATCCCGCCAACTGTCTAGCACCCCATCCATCCATCAATCGGATCCAACCTTTACCTTACCTAGTACTCTCCCCCAGCCTACGCCCGCGAACTTCTCAGCCTCGTCTTCCGCGCCGCATCTCAACCTCACCATCGTCATCAACCGCCTCGCCCGAGCTGCTCATCGCATCCGCGTCGCCTCGTCTCCCTGTACCTGACCAAAACACGCACCACACAACCCGACGCAGCGAACAAACCTCGCGAAACCCCCAAAAATGGCACCGCTAGACAACCCAACCCCCGAAGAGCTAGAGCGTACGCACAATTACCTCCCCCCCTTCATACTCCCCCCCTTCAAACAACTCACTCGGCTAACATCGCTTGTTTTTCAAAAACCCAGAACAACTCAAAGACACAATCCAAGACCTCTACCAAATCATGGTCCAAGTAACAACCTACAACGCGACCCCCTCCAACCCAACCGGCCCAGCCCTCGCCGACTCCGTCACAGCCTTGTCGCAATCCCTCCAGCGCGTCCACATGACCGCCACAGCCGGCGCCCCACCCTCCCCGGACCTCCCCGGCGCGTTGCCCAAGATCCCGCCCGAGCTGGTGCAGTACGTTGAGAACGGGCGGAACCCGGACATCTACACGCGCGAGTTTGTCGAGCTTGTTCGGCGGGGCAATCAGCTCATGAAGGGGAAAATGAGCGCGTTTGCGCAGTTTCGGGATGTCCTTGCTGATCACGTCGAGAGGGGGATGCCCGAGTTGAGGGAGGATGTTGGGCGGGTGCTTGAGGGGGCCAAGGTTGTTGGGAGCGGGAAGCCTGGCGGTGGTGGGTTGTGAGATGGAGGAAGGGGGGCGGGCGTACGAGTTCGGAGAAAATTTTTGAGCATCCAGAACTTTTTGAACATGAGGATTACACGATGTTTGGGACCGGGCGGAGGAGGTGGGCGGCAACTTGGAGACTAGTCAAGTGGCGAGGCGCTAGGAATTTGATACCCAGACAGAGAGCAAGAGAGAGAGAATCGTGTGCAGGTAGAGAAAGCACGTCGCACAAGAGAATCACAAGAAGCATTCTTGGTAACGAAACTAAGTTTTGGGCTGGCACATGTCTCCCACGCGACATTTGCAGGTCAATTACCAGTGGTCAACTATGCCTAACCTCGCAAACACGACAAAAGTTGTGGCACACTCAGTGCCCTTTGTATGAGATATGCAAGACGCCTCCCCCCTTTCCCAGTTCTGTCATGAATTCGGCTTCTGGAAAAAAAGACATTTGTCGTCGTTCACTCTCCCTCTCCCTCTCCCTCTCCCTCTCCTGGTGTCTCTACAAAAAGTGTAAAGGTGTGGAAAGAAAAGACGAATAAAATAGGTAAAGAAAAGGACAACTCGATCGATGCCTGGGTAAAAAAACGCCGTCCGTGTGACACTTTTTCTGTGCGTTGTAGTCTATCCCGATTTGCAGTCGAAAAAAAAGGACAACCTCATTCCCCGCCGCGGAGCCGTATGCCCAGCTTCCGGGCCCCTATGATGCAAATGTACACGAATCCCACAGCTGCTGCTACCAGAATCAGGAGCTGGAACGGGACCAAGACCAAGGCGGCCACGATCCAGATTCCATACTGGCGAATCTTGTCCACAATTCGGTCGCCTTCTTCTTGGCGCCGCTTCGTGTGGCTCTTCATCGGCTTTGCAGCGAATGAGCCGCCCGTCTTTCGTCTCGACTCTGCTGACTCGTCGGAAATTTCTGCTTCTTCCTCCGACTCGGATTGTCAGGTCGAGAAGTTGAAACCACGTCCGCCGAAGCCGGCACCACCACCACCACGTGAACGGCCGCCACCGTCGGCAAAGTTAAAGTGTGCGCCGCCACCTCCGCCGGGGAAGCCGCCTCCATTAAAGCCACCACCACCGCCGAAGCCGCCGCCGCCGCCGCCTCCCATCATGTTGAAGAGTATCTCGGGGTCGATGCCGCCGTGCATGCCGCCCATACCGCCCATACCGCCCATGCCACCACCGTGGCTGAACATGTCAGATGGGTCCATGAGGTCTTCGCCACTGTCATAGCTAGCGCGCTTCCTGCAAACGGGGTTAGCAAATGTTGGGCAATGCGGACGTGTCTCAACTTACTGAGAGTCACTCAGGGTCTCGTAGGCTTCTCCAATATCCTTGAAGCGTTCAGCAGCCTGCTCGTCGTTGGGGTTCTTGTCCGGGTGGTGGATGATAGCCAGCTTGCGGTAGGCCTTCTTGATCTGGTTGTCATCCGCGTCCTTCTCAATCCCGAGGATCTTGTAGTAGTCCTTGCGCTGGCTCTTCTTCAGCTCCAGCTCGGCCCTGCGCACCTCCTTGGCGATGCTGCGGTCCTCGGGATCCAGCTCTTGGATGTTCTTCCACTCCTTGACAGCATCCTCCCACTTGCCTGCTTGGCCATAGGCGTTGGCCTTGGTCTTGCGAGCCTTGAGGTATGTTGAGTCCAAGCTGATGGCGCGCTCGCAGTCAGCGATGGCTGCGTCGTACTCCTTGAGCTTGATCTTGCACAGCGCTCTGTTCTGCAGGATCTTGGAGTTGGTGCCGCGGTTGGCAGGGTCAACCTCGAGCGCGGCGCTGTACTTCTCGATGGCGGACTGCCAGCGACCCATCTTGTAGTCCTGGTTGCCCTCCTCCTTCATGCGGTCGAGCTTCTGAACGATTCTTAGGTACTTGACCGCGTCCCGCATGTCAGGGTCGCAGCTGATGGCCTTGCGGAAGTGGCTGACGGCCTTGTCGTTCTCGCCCTGGGCGTAAAGGGCACGACCGCGGAGCACCAGAGCCTCGGGGTCCTGGCTGTTGCTTCTCAGCAGGCTCATGGCAAGGTTCTGCGCCTCGCCAAGGGCGTTAACGGTGCCCATCTTGAGGTATGCCTCACCACGCATGAGTTGCCACTTGCGAGGTCTGGAGGCTCTAAAGCCCAGTTGACGCTCGGCCTGGTCAAGGGCGTGGAGCACCATTGATCCCGCGGTGCCATCTCTCAGGGCACTTTGCGCAGCGTTGACATGCTTCAGCATCTCCTTGGCCGGAGCCTGGTCCTTGGCAGAAGGAGGAGGGTTGATGCGGCCGAAGACGAGCAGGGCCTCTTGGGGCTGACCCAAGCTAGTGTAGATACGAGCAAGTCGGAGGAGGATCTTGGGGTTCTCGGGGTCCAGGTCGGAGGCGCGAGTGCAGTCATCGAGAGCGTACTCATACTCTGTGTTGGACATGTATGCGGCAGCGCGGTTGCTCAGATAGGTAGACGAATCGGGGACCAACTCGATGGCTGTAGCAGACTTGTCAATTTGTAGCCTCGAGAAACTCGCCATCGACAATACTTACCCTTGGAGTACTGAAGAATGGCATTCTTGTAGTCCTTCTCCTTGAAGAACTTGTTCCCGGCTGCCTTGTAGGCCTCGGCCTCGTCTTCAGTCGTGGGGACCGGACTGGAAGGGTTGGACTTGTGAGGGGGAGGGGCTGGAGCATCGCCATTGCCGTTAATATTGGTGTTGATGCCGTTTGGCTTGGGGACGGAGAATGAAGTCTGCGCAGAGGGTTGGGGTGCAGCGGCAGTAGCAGCAGCAGGAGGCGATGAAGGCGCCGCGCTCGACTCACGGTCGATGTCCATGGCGTTTCCACTCATGGCTGAAAGTGCAGACAGTCTCTTTGCACGTTCTTCAGGAGGAAGATTGAGGGGGTGCGAGTCGAGGTCGATTTTGCTGCTCCTACGTGAGCCCGGATCGGTGGGGTGGCGGCCAAAGGTGCGGGATGTGCGTGACGGCTTTGTCTCCCGAGGGCCTGGTGATGCAGGTTGGGAGGGTTTTTTTGTGGGGGATTTTGTCGGCGACTTGGTGGGCGACCGGGGCTTTGTGGGCGACTTTGTGGTAGAAGAGGCCTCAGAGGGGGGGAAGTAGCTCGATTCTTGGTGGTTGTCGTCGTCGTCCTGGCCTTGCTTCTTGGACGATTTCTTTGCGAAGAGCTTCATTGATAAAGCAAGCGCCCTCTGAGGGGAACCAAAGAATGCGCAGGCTTATTTTTTTGTTGGTTAATTAGGTAAGGAGGGTCGGTACACCTCGATGCAAGGTTATGCTTGTGTACCAGATTCCCTAAACCACAATAACAGGCCTAGTGAAGGAGAGCAGGCAAGGGGGGAAAAAAAGCACCTGCTCTTTTTTTTTTTTTTTCCTGGGCTTGGGTGCGTCCAGTGGAAGGTAGCGGAACCTTGCCTTGATTCGGATGAATGAAGACGGTAGAGTGCGGCTGCTGCGGGAACAGAGTGCAAATAGGCGTCCAGTTCGTCTCGAAGAATCCTCACGAATACAATGATGATGAAGAGTGGTGTGAGTGAGAGAGCGAGAGAGAGTGTGAGAGTGGGAGTGGGAGAGAAGAGGAAGAGAGGTTGGCTGTTCTCGGAAGGCAAATTAAGGTGAGGGCGGATGGGCAGGGAAAAGAGGAAGGAAGCCCAGGCTATTGAGAAGAGGCTCGGCGAGAAAACACACAGCCCATGGGAGTGGGCACTGGAGGGGAGATACAGCCGGCGCAAGCTGCAGGGTGCTTCGAGTGAGGAAGAGAGCAAAAGTAACCGTTACCTTTGGGTAAAGCCGATGGACAGAAGAGTGAGGAGGGGGAGGGGGAAGATCTGTGGAGAGAGCGAGAGAGATTCGAGAGAAAGAGGCAAGCAACGATGCAAGCAAAAGCAGGAGGAAGAAGCTTTAGAAGTGGGATGCACAAAGTTGCTTTTCTGTTGTCATATTTCGGTATTCCAAGGCAGGGACAAGAAGGTGAAATACCGAAAATCCCAGGATTCATCAAGCGAGACGAGCCTTGCTGGCTCGCTCCCAGGGGACTCGTGTAAATTTATCAGCTGTGCACAATCCTCTTCTCATCCTGTTGCTTTTTCCCGCCTGTCAGGCCTGGTCTGCCTACCTTACGGGTTACGGGGGAGACGGAGACTGGACAAGGTCCCCGTATGCCCATGTACTGGGCTGGGCATGCGTGATCTGGAAAATGTGCTAGCTAGCAGTCCGTACACGGCATGTCATGCAAAAAGTACATTGTATGTACGAAGTTACGCCCACAAGACTTGCCCCCTGGAGCAGCGCAGAGCAGAGCGCAGACATACACAGGGCAATGTGGATGTACAATAACTAACGGCCCTGCTGGGCCTGGCACATGGCAGCTCCCATTGGGAGAGGTCATCACCAACGGCACCCAACTCGGTATCGAGTACATGTCAAACTGCATGTCAACTGCGTGTGCTGAGCTCTGCGTGCGATGTAGATGTAACCAAGACCAAAGACGAGTCACCCGCCACTAATTTCCCCCCACAAGAAGCTTGTCCAAACGGCCCAGTCCCGTCTCCCGTTGACTACTGGCAGTCCCCACGGAGCCAATGGCACGCTCGGGGCCGCAACTTGTTTACCATGATACATGCACCGCTGTGGATGAAGGGATCGTCGGACGACAGCCACTGGACCGTTGCTGATGTTGTCCTGGTGTCCTGGTCTCGTCTCCTAGCCACCCTATTTCTTGTGATGTTTCCGGTGGCCAATGGCGAACCAGGCGCAAGAACTCTCGCGGGTTGCCAAGGGCCAGGTTGAAGTCATTTGGAAATTCCGCATGTCTGTCTGTATGGGACCTGACTTCGCTGACTAGAAATAGACTAGGATGATGGCTAGACTTTGGTTTCGCGAGAGGGGGAGCTCGAGCTGTTCATCCATTGAGAGGGTCGGTCTCCATCTCCAGACCCAGGCGATGGCGTCAAGGCGTTTGCAGGGACCTGAATGACCCGTCCCAAAAGCTACAGTGATGGGAGTGAATATGAAGGACGAACGGAGATCGAAAGAACGGATGTCACCGTAAACTCATCGACGGGCAACATTACATTCGAATTGGCTCCCAACTGACTGAAGGTTAGAGCCTAAAATCCTGCGTTTGGTAAGGTAGCCAAAAGTACCTACCCACCCCAGCTCATGTCTGCCCGTCCGACGTTCGGATCGGATACAGACGAAATCGACATATCGGGGCGTTTGCAACCAACGGTGACTGTTCTTTCTCTTTCGCTGCAACCCAGCGGGCCGGTTCGAGAAGGTTCGGTGGGGCTCCGTCCCGGACCCTGCACAGTCAGCGAATCAGCTTCGACCGTTGACCGCTGTCACCCTTGGGGTCCGCCGAACCGCCCGAAGAGCGTTGCCGTCTCTGATGACACCCGACCACTTCCTGGACCGTGGGAGGACAGAGGGAGAGTCAGACAGAGGAAGGGGAAAAAAAGGTCCCCTGGAGTTTTGGCACGCAGCGACCAAGGACCCATGTCCTAGTTCCACTGCCGCCCGCCCCTTGGAAATATGTGTGCTGCACTGCGGGTGCGAGTGCAGGCTGCAGAGGGCCTGGCTGATTTGCAGCTCCCCAACCTCCTGCAAACCGAGCTGATGGCATCACCATGCCGCCGTCTTACCGATTCACAATTTTCGCTCGTGGACAGATCGTTGCTCGAGGGTCGAGGATATAGAGGTATACAGCGGGTCATAAACGTCTCTCGCGCATGCAGGCCGAAGACAAAGTCATAAGCCGTGCATGCACTGCCATTCAACGGGCCTGGCTCCCAGCCTTTCCCATTCCCCAGAATCTCATGTCCCATGTCCCGATCTGCGAGCTTGGACATGTCCTCGAGGTTTGGGGAGCCGCGCCCACCCGATCTCGGTCTCATGTCCTCTTTACTCAACTTGCTGTCACATCAGATGCCTGCGGCAACGCGTTCCGCGTTGTTACCCTGGATTCAGCACGAAACGGAAACCAAGCTGCCATGCTGTGAAACCCAGCCGAAATTAAACCTGTTACCACCGTGCTCCTATATGCTTGATGCGAATAAACTACAGTCAAGTCCAAACTCATTCATCAAAACTCGTTTCCCTGTATTTGTGCTCTCGTCCCTGCTGTGTTTGTGCCCAGATACCGCTCGCTCGTGTCGTCACTTTCAATCAATTCCTCATGCGCCGGGTACCTTGCCTGAATTAAACTCAATCCTCAGATCCCTCGGCCGATGTAGCCTCAGATGCCGTGTTGCTACCCATGATAGAGTTGACGAAATCCTGGTATCTAAACACCTCACGGCGATTGCCCAAACCGCCTTGCATATTGCGATTGAATGCTCGTCTCCCCGTGAATCCTTCGATTACCTTCTCAACCTCAGCCTCTGTAAGCGGTCGCTCGCCAGGCTCAGGCACAGTATGCAGCAGCGCATCGCGCAGCTCCGCGAGGTCGATCTGCCCGCTGTCGTCGTCATCGAATGCGGAGAAAGCAGACAGCAACTCGGATTGTGGTGATAAGGAAGCCAGCATCGTGGCCAGGGAATTTAGGAAAGCAGCCATCGTCATCGTTTGAGGCGTTGATGGAGGGAAGAAATGCGACACATCGGAGGGTTTAGACGGCAGGCCTAAATAACTGTTAAGTAAAAAGGAATCCTTTGATACCTTGGCTGTCATGCTTACCCAGCTGATTCAGCATGTCCGCTACATCTTCCCTATTAATGATGCCGTCGCTGTCGCGATCCAGGACCTCGAACCCCTCTCGAAGCTGTCTGACTTGTGCAGGCTGTAAATGCGAAATGGCGTTCCCATGGCTCATCGTCTTTTTTAAACCCGGCCGCAGAGGTTGTGGCGAGGCCATGGTGGTTGTTTCGGCTGTTGGTGTTCGCACTCGCGGCGTCCTGCTCTCGGCCGTTTCTGTCGGGGTGGTCGGGTTGCCGAAGCGTCCGTTGTTCGTAGCGTAAGATGCCTTGGTGGGCGATCCGAAAGGCGTCACTTGCGTCACTTGCGTTGTCGAGGCCTGTCGCGCTGCTGATGGCGATGCAGGAGATTCTGGTCTTCTAAATGGAGAGCTGCGAGGTGAGCCATGAGGCCCTAGTGGGGAAGGTTTGTAGCCAGCGGGCATTGCCTGTTGTGGGGTTTTCAAGTCAAAATTCATGCGATTTCCCAAGAGATTTGATGATCCGCGCGTGAAATGGGCCCTAGCCTACCATATTGAAGGGTGTTCGGGGCGGGAACTGTTATGGGTGGGAAATAGGGAGTGCCTTGCTCTGGATCTGTGATGCCGCGCGCCCACTTGGCAGCGAAGTAAACAATGAGAAATATGGGGGTGGGCCAAGAGGCAACGGTAAGCGTATGAGAGAAGGGCGGGCGACGGCAATGTAAAGAAGAAAAGCAATTGTCAAAATTGCGAGCCGCTTTTCCGGTATCAGTATCAAATAGATGTTATTGATGAGTGGTTCTGCGTCGGTTTGAAATGGCGTTGCAATTCAATTGTAGAAAAGTCTGGTCCAGAGCAGAGACAATGGCGGCTTTGGGTGACATATGAATGTAAACAGAGGCGCTTTCTCCGTGACAACCGTAGCCTTGCATGACCCTCCCGTCCGTGCATGGCAGTCCCAAGGGGGTGGGGGGAGGGGAGCAGATGTGGCTGACGTTGTGTGGCTTGCACACAACTCCCTGCGTCAGCTGCCAAAATGTCTCCCTCCAGCCACAGAGGTTTCATGTAAGGTCCCTTGAGGCGCTAAGCAAAGTTTGGGTTGAGAGCGGCAGCTCGGACCAGCATTCTCTCAAAGGGGAAAGCAAAAAGGACAGGGAAGGCGGGGGAACGTGGAAAGGGGAAGAGGAAGCAGGGGACCAAGGGGGTCCTTGGGGAGCTGCCGAGAAAAGAAGGCCCTGCCTTAGGTAAGGTAATTGGGTGGGCAAGCCGCAAGAGGAGGGGGTTTTGAAAAAAGAGGACACTGGGAATCCGTGATCAGAATTGCTGCGGACGCATTCGTCGACGCTTACTCGCATCTCGCAGACACTACCCGCTTTGCTCACGGATACGGATCAAAGCCCACACTGACGACCACCTTCCTACCACACACTACACCTGCTCCAAGGCCGCCTCGTGTCTGTTCTGCCTCTTTGTCTGTCACGGGCTGTGTGTCTGACTTGACTGACAGATTGCCCGTCTGTG